GCTAAGAATCCATGCAGTTTTGTCTTCACACTTTCCCTAGCCCACACAACCAAGTAATAAAATCAGAAAGCCTAACATGATTAGATCCTCCATTTCAGCTTCAATCCTTGAGGGGAGGGGGAGGAGTCCTCTTCTGTGGCAATCAATCTGGGCATTTCTTGGGCTACCACACCTGGATTGGAGGCTTGCTCTAGTGGTTCTCAACCTTTCTAATGCCACGACCCTCTAATACAGTTCCTCATGTTGTGGTGACCCCAACCATAAAGTTATTTTTGTTGCTACTTCATAACTGTAATTTTGCTCCTGTTATGAATCATAATGTAAATATCTGTGTTTTCCAATGGTCTTAGGCTCTACAGTAGCGGTTCTCAACCTGTGGGTTGCAGTTGAGAACCACTAGCAGGGTCGCCTGCTAATTCTGGTCTCAGGTATGTACCAGAGTTGGCTAATGCCTCCTCATTGGGATCCCCAGCCCACCAGCCACTGGAGGGCAGTGTCTTACCACAGCTGCTGCTGGGCCCGTTTTCTAAGAGCATTGATCCCCCTCTCCCCATCTTGGGTGGCTGCTTCCTGAGCAAAGGACAGCAGAGCTCTTCAGATGTCAATGCTGCGGTTCCCTCTCAGTCCCTATCCCAGGTGGAAACTTCCAACCCAGATTTACCCTGGCTCAGGCTCCTAGGCCCTTTAGCAACAAAGCTTGTGCCCCAAACTTCATGGAAAACAGCTCCCCGAGGTTGTCTCCCTTTGAACTTTTTTCCCACCTTAAACTTATTCTTCCAACTTCTCCACACACTAACCATTATCTTCATGCAGAACAACTGGTGCAAAAAGATATCTGGGTGTCACTGCTCAAAATTTATTAGATTCACCCAGATTCTAAATACCTGTCATAGGGTGTCAGAGACACCAGAACATCTCATTGGAGTAATTCTGGGAAATGGACCATCACTTCAGGGCAGGTATCTCCAGCTCTTTGTTAGCTAGAATGGTACCCACTCCCCTCCAGCCCTACAATACGTTAACTGGTACAAGAGGTGTATATGAGTGAAGAGGACTAAAAGGCAAACCTCCTTGAACAAAGTGTTTTATGCGAGTCTGACTGTGTGTGTGTTTGTATGTGTGTGTGTGTTGTGTTGACCCACATATACTTTAGTGCAAGATTAGAAGATGCGAACAGAAGACCTGCCAGTTTCACTCCTTTCCCTTCTGAAAATCCCAGTACACCTCACCTTGGGGCCTAGGCTGGGGATGGATCATGGGGGATGGCTAAGGACAATAACCAGTTGCCGGAGCAACTGCGTGGAGCTTTGGAATCTGCCCTGAAGGCGTCTCTGTGCTAGATACATTGGCTATGTTGGGAGAACAGCTTCCAACAGGAAGCAAACTCAGAGTTCAGTTTTCAGGTAGGCAAATAACTATGTTTGGATAAGTCCATGTCAGTAAGATGCTTGACTGAGAATTTCCTGTCTCTCCCCCACACCCCCTTGTCTTCTAAATGCATCCAAATCTTTCCATTGGACTTTTCTAAGTGGCACTATTCTCCTGAGTTAACCCAATTAAAAAAATTAAGGCGGGGGAGGGGGGGATCAAGGGGAAAAAAAAAAACCCTGAACAATAGTTGAGAGATCATGGCTATAGGCTTTGTCATTAATTAGGTGACATGATACAAGATAGGTTCTCTGTGTCCCAATGATCTCACCACTAAAATAAAAGCTTAAAATTAGTTCTTCTTTAAGGCAACTTCCATGCACATATTCTCTGAGGGTACTCTCTCCCCACCCCCTCCTGTTTCCCCCTCTCGCCCTCTCTTTCCCCAGGCTGTTTCCTTTCACTCTTCTTTTTCCTTGTCTCCTTTGTCTGTTGTTTTTATTCCCAGATCTTTACACAGGCTCTTTTATTTTCATCACCAGGCGATTTGTGCCAACAAGTGTGATGCAAATAAAGTTAGACAGGATTTTGGTTCTGACTGAATAAGAATTGCTCCACTTGAATTTAAAAAAAACAACAACCCAGTTCCTCTAAACTGATTCTATTCAAAGTTTCTTGGCTTCTGAATTTAAAGAACAAGTTGTTCTTGTGGAAGGTTCATTAAAAAATGTTTGTCCCACCCCCTTCCCATTAGTGACCAACCTGCTAAGTGAACCCCCACAAGAGAGTACAACCTCAAGACAGTCTTCCTGAGTGAGCACCTTCCCTTCACCTACAAGATCAGTGAACCCAAGTTCAAAACTTGGAAATTCCATGAAGCCAAGTCTATCTAATGGCAGACTCTGAGGATTCTCAGGAACTTTTAGTATTTCCTGGCGCGCGTGCACACACACACAAGGCTTTGACCATTGTTGTCAAAACAGACTGGAATTAGCAACTTGAACTTTCTAAATGGTCCCGCTTACTTATGGAGACGAGTGGCAGTGATGGGGTGATGAAACTGGCAGGAAAAAGAAAAACCACAAAAACATGAAGCATTTTGAACTTCTCAGTCTAAGTTAATGGGAGAAGAGGATCCAGTTGCTCGAGGTAGATGACATCACATGAACAAAGGATGGGAATAACTCATAAACCCTTTCCCCTTTTCACCATTCTCATCAAGGAGAAGGAAAGATCAAATCGGAACAAATGGAATAAACAGTGCCTTGGTGCCGAAAGCCCAAGATAGATGAGGAGAAGTTAGAGCTACCAGTTGTCCAGCGGAATTACCCCCAGGCAGCTAAGATCACCATTCCATTTTAGGATGTTGTTGATGCCTTGACTCTTATCCCAGGGACCCATCTGAGTCTGCAGCTAACTCCCACCTCAAGCACCCACCCCCTCATCTGTTCTGTGTAATGGCTTTCTCTGTCACCGCTGGACATCACTTGACGACTCTCAGGAATAACTCAGAAAGTGGGAGGGGGATTCATGCTCCCAGAGGCAAGTCTCCCCCACTGTAGAACAGGAGTCAGTGATAGATGCGGCAACCTTCCCGCCCTCCAAGGTGATGCTGGGATCATGGTCACGCAGTTGCTCAGGATCAGATAGCAGCTGCGCACTATTGAGCCACTCAGGAACGCTCCCGCATATTGCTGGTTTGCTTTCCTTGACTCACTTTCCCCATTTCCACACTCCTACTGGCTTCACCTCCCAAATAAATGACCTAAACCTAAGTCCTTGTCCCAAAAAATCTGCTTTTCTGAGAACCCAAACAAATGGCTTCACTATGTATTAATATGCGATTTAAAAATTCACAATATAACATTGACTATTCTAACCACTTTAAGTGTATAATTCAGTAGTATTAGGTACATTCAAATTGTGCAAACATCACCACCGCCAATCTCCGGAATGTTTTATCTTTTCAAACTGAAACTCTCTACCCAGAAAGCAATTCCCCATACCCTCCTCCTTCTAGCTTGTGGCAATCACCATTCTGCATAGTGTCTCTATGACTTTGACTATTCCAGTACCTCAGGTAAGTAGGATCATACAATATATATATTTTTGTGTGACTGGCTTATTTCACTCACCATATATCTTTAAGATTCATGGTAGGTATCAGAATTGCATTCCTTTTAAACAAAATTCAGATGAATTGAGGTACATTTGCATTTAGTAACATTCACCCACATGAGGTTTTGACCCATAGACACAGCTGTGAACTGCCTCCATAAATCAAGGTATAGAACATTTTCATCACTTCAAAAAGTCCATCATGTTTAAATGACGAGAGGTATATAAAAAGATGCTCAACATCCCTAATAATCAATGCAAATCAAAACCACAATGAGATACCACCTTACACCTATAAGGATGGCTACGATAAATAAGAAATTGCTTCCATTTTAAGGATGAGTAATATTCCATTGTATGCATATACTATTTGTAATCTTAAAGAATTCATGAAGAACGCTGGAAATGCTGAAAGGCTGTAGATGGACTAGTTTGGTCCAGTTTTCTAAAAAGAGAGTGTATTCATTTTTGCTGCATAGCAAACAACCTCAAAATCCCAGTGGCTTACAACAAACTTGTATTTTTCTCTCTGTCAGATGTGCAGGCCATCTGGGGCAGCTCTGCTTCAGGCTGTGTGGACCCGGCTCAGGCGGCTCCATGTGCCTCTCATTCTATTGGACCAGCAATCCCTGGGATGGATGGTTTTCATGGTGAATGGCAGTACAGTGGAGTGAGTGGACATAAAATGCTCTTTAAGCATTGGGCTTGCACCTACCACATTCTCTTCCACCTGCCTTTTTCCCATTGGCCAGAGCAGTCATGTGGCCTCGTGCAATGTCAGGGCTGCAGGGAAATAGAACCTGGCAGCTCCAGTGGGAATCCTACACCATCACACAGAAAGGAAAAGGATATATTATTCTCATACAGGTAAGTGGAGAACTAGTAACAATAATCGAACCTACCACAGAGAGTTGATCATGGAAAATGCAGGGGAGTTGATCCCCAGTAAATTCCAGAAGAGATTATTTAATGAATGGTTCGTGGGAATGTAGGGAAAAAAAATGATGGCCATAAGGAGCCAGTCCAACTTCATTAAGAATAAATGAATCTAATTTCAGATTTTTTTTCTCCCTTAGATTTACTTTAGAACTAAATCAGGGGAATATGGCAGTTGTACTTTCTTTGGATTTTGGAATGACACTAATTTTTCCCCATGATATTCTTGAAGACAAAAATGGAGAAATACAGATCACATGACAGTGTGGTTAGATAAAGCAACAAATGTTCATACAACTATTCTTTTTAAAAAAATATTTTTTTGTTAATTTCAGAGAGGAAGGGGAGGGAGAGAGATAGAAATATGAAGGATGAGAGAGAATCACTGATTAGCTGCCTCTTGCATGCCCCCTACGGGGGATCGAGCCTGCAATCCAGGCATGGAACCCAGGACCTCCTAGTTCAAAGGTCAGTTCTCAACAACTGAGCCACAACAGCCAGGGCATATACAACTATTCTTAAATATGTCTGATGAACAGGTCATATCACTCAAGAAGGGAATCTCTGGCATTGTGCACAGAGCTGAAGCTCTGTCCCCGCTGCCACTTTCATATAAGTGATTGGTGTGAAGAAAGAGATGGATGTGAAGTAAGCACAGACTGGAATGAAATTAAGAGCCTGAAATTTAACAGCAATAAATGCCAACTATTCCACTGAGACATTTTTTTAAAAACACCAAACAAACAGAAATCAATACAGGATGAGGAATCCCATGAGAATGACATAAGAGAAGGAAGACTTGATAAAAGGGAAATAATACCTAACTCTTACCCAGGAGGCCTCTGCCTTAGAAAGATGTCATATCTCCCTCAAATTATATATATTTTAATAAACGAGTTTAGCTCATTCACATTTTGGGGAGTTGCTGATATGTTTTGAATTCTTTCTATTGGTTCTTTTCATTAGGAAGAAGCATGGGGGGGGGGGGCTTCTGGGAACTGGCAGTGTTCTATTTGTGGGCCTGGATGGTGGAGGATAGAGAGAAAACTCCTCTGTGCTTGTCCTTTACCCTCATTGCTACCATCGCCCTTCACTTCACACATCACACGGATTACTTAGCCAATGATGGTTCAAAACCAGATCCCTACCTCACTCTTTACAGTGAAATAATCTTCAGATGGGTTCCAGATTTAAGTGTGCAAAAGGATGAAATCAGGTTGGCTTCCTCTGAACCCACTCACCAATCTTAGCATTACTAAAAGTGGGGCATTCAGTCATTAGGAGTCTCCTAATTTGGTATAAGAGGAAATACAGAACACTTCCTTCCAAACTGAGCCTGATTCCAGTCTAGTTGTTGATCAGCCAGAGAAATATTGGAGATAGTGGTACCTGTTCAGCAATACTGCAAGGACAATCAATCAAGGTCAAAAGTGGGAAATTCTAAATTCTACTCTAAATTTCCCACTTTGTTAAAAATTAATTGGCACTCACACACAAAAGGGAGGAAACCAGTGTGGATAAAAAGAAATGTAAGATATAATAGCAAAATGTAATGTGGGGACTTAAATTTGAATCCTGCATTGAACACACTAACTTTGTGAAAGACATTTTTGCCACAATCAGAAATATGGACTGAGAATTAGATGGTATTGAGGAATTATTATGAATTTCATTGGTTGTGACATGATTTTGTGGCTTTTTCAGAAGTTATTACCTCATCGATGCACAGTGAAATATTTACATATATAAAAGCTTAAACAACCATCCAACTGGTTGCTATGATGCACACTGACTACCACGGGGCAAACTGTCAATGCAGGAGCTGTCCCTAGCAGCCGCTCAGGTGACCAGGCTAGAACGAGCGAGGCGGCTCCTTCCCGGCTGCCTGCCCCTTCTGTATTACTATATTCCTCAGGGATGTTGGATGCCCATTTTAGCTCAGTTCCCGCAGACCATGCCAAGGGACCCCACCAGTGCATGAATCTGTGCACTGGGCCTCTAGTTTATAGATAAAATGATATACTTTTATCTGGGATACTTTATTTATTTATTTATTTATTTATTTATTTATTTATTTATTTATTTATAAATCCTCACCCCTCACTCATTTAGGGGAAATGATGAACAACATAGACTGATGAACAAGAACAGCATCGATCAGACTGTCGGACCTCAGAGGAAGGATAGGGGAGGGTGGGAATAAGGGAGAGAGATCAACCAAAGGACTTGTGTGCATGCATATGAGCCAAACCAGCGGTCATGGACAACAAGGGGGTGGGACATGCGTGAGGAGGGGTTTGGGATGGGAATGGGGCGGGGGATGATGACAAATATGTGATACCTTAATCAATAAAGTAAATAAAAAAAAATTAAAGGTATCATTGCATACAGAAAAAAAATCCTCACCCAAGGATAAGTTTTTATTGATTTTTAGAGAGAGGGTATGGGGAAAGAAGAGAGAGAAAGAGAGGGAGAGAGGGAGGAAGAAAGAGAGAGAGAGAGAGAGAGAGAGAGAGAGAGAGAGAGAGAGAGAGAGATGTCTCTGACTGGGAATTTAACCCGCAACCTTTTGGTGTACGGGACTTTGCTCCAACCAACTGAGTCATTTGGTCAGGGCTGGGATCTACTTTAAAAAAAAATTAATTACAAATGTTAAGGGGAATGCATGAAAAAATAATAACAGAAATTTGATGTTTTTGTACAAGGGGTGGTCTATATTTGTGTGAATTTGAAAATTTCCACAATGAAAAGTTAAAAAACAAAGCAGCCTATGTAAAGTATCCACCTCTTCTCCTAGGAAGCACTCAAACCAGTCAGCTATAATCACAATAATCAGAAGCACAGAACATTAGAAAAAGATTCTACTAATTTTTACTGACAAAGTCAATAAATACATTGAAGTTGATAATATTGATATGATTTCTGCTAGTGTGTAGCTTAACTAGGAGAAACAGACTGGATTAAATAAAGGCCCTGACTCCCAACTTAATGTGTTTACTTAATGTCTCAAATATTGCATGTAAATAAGTTCCTGGACTGTGACTAAGAAACTTAAAAAATAAAATGTTCAAGTTAGCAGTTTAAATTTCCTTGGTTTAATATTTCTAGATGACAGTTTATTCCAGGCATTTCCTGCTTAAATAAATTCTTCCATTTTCTCATTAATATTCTCACACTTTTAAAACTCAGCAAAAAAAAAAAAAAAAAAAAAAGAAAATGAAATAACAGGGATTTTCTTTTCAAGTACTATCATGAAATAAAAAGCAAAGGAGAGGAGAATCCAAGATGGCGGCATAGGTAAACACCTAACTGCAGCCTCACACAACAATTTCAATAAAATACAACTAAAATACAAAATGGACATTACCCAGAACTACAGGAAAGTCAACTGACTGGAAATTCTACAATGAGAAGGAAAGAGAAAACCAGAAGGAAAATCAGAGGAGCTGTAAAAGCCTAAGGTACAGAGACACATTGTGTGCGTGGAGAGGACGGACCCAGAGAGGAGGGGGAGGCTGAGTGCCTGGCTGGCGTTCCCTAGCAGGAAGGAGATAAAAGCTCCAGACTGTGCTGAACCCCAGATCTGACAGCACTGAACCCCAGTTCTAGGCCAGACCCTGGGGACCCAGGCTCATACAGAGGGCCTGGGCTGTAAGGCAGAAACCCAGGGGAGCGGCGAAAGGAAGTCCCGGAGGCGTGCACATTGCGCGCAGAGAACGGCAGTTGACTCTGTCGCTGGATTGCCCTAGTGGGAAGGAGACAAAAGCTCCAGACTGCTCTGAACCCCACTTCCAACCCCACTTCCAACTGAACTGAACCCCAGTTCTGGGCTCATTGGGGGAGAGCCTAGACTGTTTGGTAGCAGGCGAAACTCGAGGGCACCTTTCTCTCAGAGGTGCTTGCAGCGAGTACCAAAGGACTCTGAGGAACACTGAGACTCAGGAGCCTCATAGGGTGGGGCTGACGGAAGCCAAGGCTGTAGGCTCCACCCTGAAACTCTGCCCCATCCAAGCTGAACACAGAGACTTTTTAAAAAAATATATTTTATTGATTTTGTACAGAGAGGAATGGAGAGAGATAGAGAATTAGAAACATCAATGAGAGAGAGTCATCGATCAGCTGCCTCTTGCGCACCCCCTACTGGGGATATGCCTGGAACCAAGGTACATGCCCTTGACTGGAATCGAACCTGGGACCCTTCAGTTCCCAAGCCGACGCTCTATCCATTGAGCCAAACCGGTCTCGGCTGAACACAGAGACTTTTAAGGCTACCAACTCAGGGAAGCTGCAAAAATGCTGACAAGGAAACAGATCACAAACAAAAGAAATGGAGGACAAAAAGTGACTGGATATAGAGTTCAAAACCATGCTTACAAGATTTTTCAAGAATTTCCTAGAAAAGGCCAATAAAATAAACGAGACCCATGAGGAAATGAAAAGGGATCAAGTAGAAATAATAAGGGATCAACTAAAAATAATAAGGGATCAACAAGAAATAAAGAATACATTGTCTGAAATAAAAAAATATTATACAGAGTCCTAAAAACAGAATGGAAGATCGCAAGAATCAAGTCAAAGATTTGGAACATAAAGAGCCAGAAGACACTCCTTCTCAGAAGCAAGAAGACAAGAGAATCAAGAAAGTTGAAGATAATGTAAGAAACCTCTGGGACAACTTCAAGTGAACCAACATCCGAATTATGGGGGTCACAGAAGAAGAGAGAGAGCAAGATACTGAAAACATACTGAAAGAAGTAGTGACAGAAAACTTCCCCCACCTGGTGAAAGAATTAGACTTACAAGTCCAGGAAGCGCACAGAACCCCAAACAAAAGGAATCCAAAGAGGACCACACCAAGACAAATCGTAATTAAAATTCCAAGAGCAAAAGACAGAGAGAATATTAAAAGCAGCAAGAGAAAAGCAGGTAGTTACCTATAAAGGAGCACTCATATGATTGTCAGCTGATTTCTCAACAGAAACCATGCAGGCCAGACAGGAATGGCAAGAAATATTCAAGGTGATGAATAGCAAGAACCTACAGCCAAAAATACTCTACCCAGCAAAGCTATTCTCAGAATCAAAGGCCAGATAAAGAGCTTCACTAATAAAAAAAAAAGCTAAAGGAGTTATTCACCGCCAAACCTTAATTATATGAATTGCTGAAGGGGGTTCTTTCAGAAGAGAAAGAAAATAAAGATAAAAATTATGAACAATAAATACGTAACTATCAACAAGTGAATCTAAAAACCAAAGGAATTAAAAAAAAAAAATCTGATGAACAGTATTAACTGTTGAATATAATAGAATCAGAGGTATGGAAGGGGAGTAGACTGACGATTCTTGGGGAAAAGGGGAGTGGGGATGAGGATAATGGGGGGTGGGGAAAGGGCAGAGGGTGGGGTGGGAACCTGGTGGAGGGGAGCAATGGAGAGGGGAAAAATGAGGAACATTTGTAATAATATGAATATAAAGATTTATTTTAAAAAAAGCAAAGGGTCTTGTGTGATAAATGGATATGAAGTCTAATCCCCACCCCACCCCCTCCTCCACACACATACATTTTGGGCTCCTTTCACACCTATTCTTTCAATGTACAACTAACTTCTGACTAGTCACCAATAGGTGGGGAGGGTTTGTTATATTTTGAGGACCATTTGCCAAATAAGACAAAAAGAAACCACCCCGTATTCTTCCTCCTCACATGTAGGTCCTATGACAAGGTCAGGATAAAGAAGCCATGTTGAGAGAATCCTATGGTCCACGGATCTCAGATGCAGCCTCTGGATATAGCTTTAGTAGGCCATGTTCTGAGGACCATATGTGGACTTGCAAACATTAGAGGTACTCACGGTAATCTTTAACTCCCAACTTTTTACATCTGAGACCTTTGGTACCCCTTAATATTTTGGAAAAACAATATTGTAAGAAAGGAGGGGAATGCTTTTCAAAAATCACAACTGCTGCCAAGGAATGTAGATGCCTTGAAGTCAGACATAGCAGAGTCTTTGCCGGTCTTCTGGGCTAATATGCTAACGAGCTCTATTTTTCAACTGAGCATCGTGATGGGTTTTGATGTGGGCCTGGTTCTGGCAATAGGTGCTGAAGAGAATTGAAGTGCCAGTCAGTAAATAACAAGAATTTGTACTTCCTGGGAACAGTATTGGGAGGTGGTGTAAGAAAGAGAGACTGAAGGGGAAAGGGAGCCAGCTAGCTGGCACAAAGGCTTGTGTGTAGGGAGCCCAGTCAGTGAAAAATCTGGTGACACAGTGGTCAAAATGTCCATTAGGAAGAGGGAGGTTCTAACATACCATTTAGACTTGTTTGTGTTACTGCAATGAAAATGTCTTTGGTTTCTGCAGACATTTCTCTATAAAGGCCTTTATACTCAGACTATGTTTGTTTCTTGTTGTTTTCTGGGTAGGAGGAGGGTGAAGGAAATCAAAGATGGACCCAGCATGTAATAGTGTGAAGTTCATAAACTCAAGCAATCCATTAGAAGAAGGAAATGAGAGCCAGAGGTAGACATCAAGACACAAGCCTTAGGCAAAAATTTGGGGTAAGAACTTAGACTTTCTATGCAGTGCAGAGTAGAGTGAGCATTTGAAAAACCTTCTGTAGCTCTTAAAAGGCAGGGCTACCTGAGCCAGTTATGAATCACATGACTCTGCTATTTGTGCTTGTCCTAAAACAACATTGCCCAGACTTCAAGGAGGTCATTTCTAGTTTCTAATGTTGAAATGAAAGCCAAGTTCCCTTCATTAGTCCTTTTCAATCTGTCCGCTTTGAGCCTAAGTAGTTCTAATCGTTTCGGTCTATCTTGGTATGAAAGTGGCTCAGTCTCCACAAGCATTTCAGTTGAACTTCTCTAATTCATTTCTGTTATGACACTTATTGTGTAAGGCTGTGTTTAAAACAAATATTATTCAATTTCAGTGCTTTTAACCACTATAAGAGTTGAGTGTGCCCTGGATTAGGTCATCTTAGCAATGCAGAGGACTCCAGACCAGGAGTGTGAGGTTCTACGTTTGGGTCTCAGCCACTAAACTTGCAGTGTAACCTTGAACCCTCAACTTCCTTGTGTGCAAAGAGGATGGCAACCCTTTACTAGTATTTTCACACCTCATAAGACCTTTGAGAAGATTAAAAGAAACAATTTATATCCATGGTCTTATTCAGAGTACTGCATTATGCAAACAAGCGCCAATAACTGGGGTGATGATATTTAGACAATAGAGATAAAGAAATATATTTATTTGGTTAATGAATAAATATTTTCATTTATTTGATTTAGCAATGTACTTGAGAAAAGAATCACTGAACCCTGCATGTCCTTTATCAATGGATGGTCTGGCAATGTCTAAACAAACACAACATTGGGAATCCCTTTAAACATTCCTAGTTGTTAATTTTCCTTCAAGCATCCAAAGGGGCCAAAACCCATGAACTTCCAGTTTCTATCCTATGAACAAACTCTGCATCGAGACTTTCAGCCAAACTTACTTCAATAGTTACTACCCTGAGGCTCTTGATTTAACAGGACTTCCTCCGTGAGCCAAGGACTGCACTCTGGAGAGGGCTAATCTCAGTTAAATAGCCCCAGGGCTGCAGAGCTGCAGTTACCGCAGTATCTTCCAGCCCTCCTGCTGGTTCACACCCTTCAGTTACCTCTTTCTGCTGTCAGCACTCTCTTTGAATTTTCCTCCAGGCCTCAACCATGCACATGTGTTTTAGACTGAGGTGACTAGGGCAGATCTTTTTACAGTGGAGTGGAGGAAGTCACTCTATTATGGGATAGTAAAAATGTAAAGTGATTAGGGCAGGGAAAATACTCTGAATGATGCTATCATGAAGATTCATATCATCAGACCTTTGTCCAAATTCATACAATGGGGAACCTTAAGGTAACATCTGGGTTTTGGGGGATTATGATGTGTCCATGTAGGCTCATCAGCTGTAACAAATGTCCACTCTGGTGAGGGATGGTAATATTGGGGGAGGCTGTGCATGTGTGGAGGGAGGAGGTATATGGGAAATCTCTGTACCTTCCTCTCAATTTTGCTGTGAACCTAAAACTGCTCTTTTAAAGGTCTTTACCAAAAAAACCAACAAAAGTACAATAATCTAAACAAATACACTCTTAAAGATAGTATGTATACATGTTTTCCCAATTTTAGCCTTTAATTATAGTCCTTGGTATGCCATACAAAAAATGCAAAGTAATTTCAGAGCAAGCTTCTTACCCACTTTCTAAGGCACTACCTGGTTCCGAGGAATGGCCGAGTGTGGGAGCCACATGCTGGCTCTTGGCTCCACTTTGGATTCCCGGCCTTTTATTCTGGAACATCCAGCAGTGATTGTGCCACAGCTGTGACCATGCACTCCCTGAGACAGAGCCTACTCTTTGTTCCTCCTCTATTTTGTTCTGCATGTGTCCTTTCCTCAGGCTTGCCTCTTTTCTCCTCTTAGTTCCAGTCCTAAAACCAGCCATGCCCTCTTTATACATTTTTTAATCTGAATACATTCAGTCTAATTATTAATATTACTAGAGGCCTGGTGTATGAATTTGTGCATAGGTGGGGTCCATCTCCAATTGGCCCACCCTGATTGGGCCAATTAGAGGAGGGGCTAGATGGGGGGAGGCGCCGTGGGAGGTTGGCTTGCTGGTCCCTCCCCCTGGTCAAACTCCCAGTTGAGGGGACAATTTGCATATTAGCCTTTTATTATATAGGATACTCAATCTGTTACACAAAGCAAGCCAATCAAATAGTAATGGGTTGCATTCTGGTTACCCCAAAAATGTATAGCTGGGAAAAGGAACAGTA